GCCTAGCCAGTCTCCAGACCCGAACCCGACAGAAAATCTATGGGGGGAGTTGCCCAGCGACAGCCCCAAAACCTGACAGATCTGGAGAAGACCTGTATGGAGGAGTGGGCCAAAATCCCTGCTGCAGTGTGTGCAAACCTGGTCAAGAACTACAGGAAACGTCTGACCTCTGTAATTGTAAACAAAGGTTTTGGTACCAAATATTAAGTTCTATTATTCTATTGTATCAAATACTTATTTCATGCAATAAAATGGAAATAAATTATTTAAAAATCTAAAATGTGATTTTCTGGAGTTTTTTTTGTAGATCCTGTCTCTCACAGTTGAGGTGTACCTACGATGAAAACTACAGATCTGTCCATTCTTTGTAAGTGGGAAAACTTGAAAAATCAGCAGTGTATCAAATACTTATTTGCCCCACTGTAACTACAAGGTAATTTCGAGGAAGACAACATTTGTAACTACAACTCTATCGCTCTTAATGAAAAGAACCACATTTCTGTTAAGTCATTCATTTTTATTTCCCCCACATCAAACACAATTATACATGGCAAAAACATCAGTGATATATAATATGGAAATAAATCTAGTATAAGCAATGACATACAGAATAAATCAAAAAAATATTACAATGGTGATATTAGAAGTCAAAAAATTATAATGCAAGGATTTATAAAATGCAAGTACAACTTCAAAAATCAACAGTTAACATATGCATATTCAGTAAATTCTATTCTAGTGTATCTGGTGTGTCTGAGATGAAACATCCAAATCCTCTCCAGCTAGAATAACAAATCATGGCAAAGCTTTTATTTGATACATGACCAGGATGCAACACACACAGCAAGACAACAAACCCTAAACACACGACTTACTGGATACACACAGGTAGAAGAGTAAACTATATCTTTTCAAAACATAGGTGCCCGTGTATCAAAGTAGTCTGCAACATACAGAAGGCCTGATATCCTCACACAGTCTGTTCAGATTTCAGTCCACAGCAAGTGTTCCCGTGTGTGGTGACAACACGAGATGTGAAAACTTTTATGCTCAAAAATAATTCGATACAACAAATCCAACAACACAGTGTGTTAAGTCCTTTACAAACACGCTGCTGTGTAAAACCAACGCCGAGCTGCATATCAACTAAACTACACTCACCTGAACAGGAAGTAAAACTCCGGATAAATGACTGAACTTGAGAGATCTTTAAACCTTGTTCTGTTAATTTGTTACTGTCATTAATTCCTTCATGAATCCCTCCATCCTCTCTTTCCTTTGGCTGCATTATTCCCAAAGAAGAGAGCCACTTTTCCTCCTTGCCATCACTCTCTCCTCCCTATTCCTTTTCTCAAACTCATCTCTCAAAGACAGAAGTCACATAGAAATGTTCCTCCTTACTTTGCACATCTTATTTTCTCCACCATTCTTAAAGGAAAAGTCTGGTGATATCCTGTAGTTTTCTTCTTGTCAGAAAATCCCAGAAAAAGACCAAAACCAGTTTGTCTGTTTCTAAAGAGCCAGCATATTTGTTCCTACCCAAAACATAAATCTTTTAAAACAACTCACAAATATATATAGTTGTTTTTTTTTTTGAAGACTTAGTGATTTCCTGTGGTAGCTGGTCACTGCAGCTTGTAGCAATCAAACAGTGCATTTGGTGGGGGTTTATTTTCAACAGTGAATGAATCCATATCTGGGGCCGAGTCAGAATCAACAACAGTGTTGGTGAATGGTGATGAAGGAACGCATCACTCAGTCCAGAAGTGTGGTCACTAACTGTTTTTTACTAGTTTCTGGACAACGTTGCTGAATGAGCCATCTTTGTACACCAGTAAAACAAAAATAAAAATGCAAAATCCATAAAAAATTCTCCTGCATCACGTCAGCACTTAAGGTAAATAAATAAAATAAATAAATAAAATCACTATATTTCAGTCATGTAATCTTGCAAATAACAGAGCATCTGTTTGCACATTCACACAGAACATTTCTGGGTCTCCTGGTAAATGGTTTTTCTATTTACTCTAAAGTCTCCCCAATAATTACTGTAATTACACTGGTGGGAGACCAGATGTGGGACTTTTCTATTTAGTTCCCTGCCCCCCCTCCGGAAATCGTCGATTGTCTTTGTGGATGCATGGTTGGATGCTTTCACATACAGGCGCGTTGTCATGTGCTGTATGAGATGCCTGGTGAAGGCTGCTTGGCTAATATTTTTACTTTAAGTGCTGACAGTGTGCAGGATTTGAGTTTTTGTTTTGGACCTCAGTGGAGCTTTATGGTACAGGAGTAATGTCAATCAGGAAACAGTTGTTATTAGGACACATTCTCTGTTAGTTTGGGATTTGTTAACTAGAGAAACATATAGAGAATATCACCAGTCTTGTCATTTAATGCACCCAGAACCTGATAATTCAAATGAACTCACAGTTTTCACTTTATTTTAAAAGAATTTAAGTTGTGGGCCATGAACCCGTTAATAAACCTCCATCCTTGTTTCCTTCCTCTTGTTATAAAGCTGAAGAATCTACACCTATGCTCACCCTAATTTGCATGTCTCCTATAATCTCTAAATCTCTCATGCCTCCGTTCTTCATGCATCTCAGTTCTAGTTGTAAAATAATGGAACGTAGTGAAAGCATGCGAGATTTATCCCTCCACCTGCGTCTTCTTTCCTTTCACTTCTTTAACTAAGAAACCTGCAGCCTGAGCTCTTCCGTTACCTGACAGTCTGATATTCATTTCCCAAACTAGAGGAGACTCAGGAACCTGTTTTTGATCAACGGTGGGTGAGTGAGCAAAAATATAGCCAACTGTTCTGTGACTGTTGATTTGTAACCTTGTTTGTTTAAATGAAACCCTAGCTTTTGACTGTTACAATTTTCTGATCTGTGAATTATTTTCTGCATTCAAATTCCAGCGAAGCAGCTGGAAACATCTGGACATGACATTGCTGTATCAACATTTTGCCAGTTTTCCTCAGAAGAAAACAAAACACCACACCTGTGAACAAACTGAAATGTCGTGAACATCACTACTGATTGTGTAACAGTGAGGGTGAACTTCATTTCATTTGCCTCTGCTCGACTTCTCTTTCCTCTCATTCCCACCGGTTCCTGTCTACTCTAGTTGCAACACTCCACGTAGTTTGCCGGCAACATGCCGGACTTGCCGGTTCTCTGTACAGTCCCGTACATCCAGCCTTCGTCAATGGGCTGAGCATTGATGATGACATCGCCATCCCTGAAAGAGACCTCATCATGGTCTTGAGCAGCGTAGTCGTACAGCGCCCGATAAACACGCTGCAAAGATGACATGAGAGTCAGAGATTAGACTTTATATCAGTGCTCCTCAGCCTTTTGTGGCTATGTGATTCCACTTTCAGACCTCAGTTTTCATCATCTGTCACCCCCAGCCTGCATCTCCGAACTCCTTAGTCCTTACTCAATTCTTTGCTGACCAGTTTATTTCTCACTCTGTTCCCAATTTAGTGGCACTTTTAAACCCTATTAACTCTAAGTTCTAGTGAAGTGATATGTGGCCAGGTTACAGTTGGGCTTTGGAGTCACTAAATGGCCCCTAAACATCAGATGACTAGGACAACCTGAATGCACCAGTAACCAGTGGTAATGGGAGCCCACACTGGCATCCTGCAAAGAAGGCTACATGAGATTAGTTTTGAGCAGGATTGTACCGTGGTGCCTGAGTGTGGTGGCGAGGTGATGGATCTGACAGATGACATGCTGGTTTGGTGCATGTAGCCGTGATACTGCTGCGGCTGCATCTGGACACCCTGATGGTGGTACGCTCCAGGGAGGACAGGAGCTGGGTCAGAGAGAGAGAATGAGTCAAAGTCTTTCCCACATCTGCTCGATACAGTAGTTTGAAACTGAAGAGTCTCCTCTGTGGTGACCACACTGTGAACGTCAGAGAGTTATGTAATTTAAACAATATGAGAACACACAGTGCTCTTCACACACAAACCTGCTATGAAAGAGTGAATTAGTTCCATTTTATTTGTAGGTCACAGAATGCACACAAACTTGGAAAACAAATGCGTGACAAAAACAGCTCTCAGTCAGGTCAGTACGTGTCCATACGCCCACACGCAGCTGTCTGTGTCTGAATTAGAACGTCGCTTAGGTGCTAAAGGTGGGTGCTAATAAAGCTGGCATGTTAGGCAGTATCATGCTTGTAAATAAGTAAAAAATGTAAAGCTACACAGATCATTTTCTGAAGCATAATTCAACTAGTGATGCCTTTCCCTGCTCAGTACGCTGAGAGCAATGTGTGGGTGTCCTCATTCTCCACAAAGTACTGGAAAGTTGTACATATGTTGATAAGAGTCCTGAAGCAGAATGTGAGTGAAAGCCACCGGCAGTCTTCTAATTGTCAAAGGTGAGCTACCAGACATCGTGTGGAGGCTCTTGGACTGGATGTTATCCTCCAGAGGGTCAAAGTCAAAGATGGAGCCGGGGTCTGTCCTCCACACCTTCAGGTCTTCAGAGAGCAGGGAAAAGTCGTTGGAAACATGCACACAACAGCATGTTTATATAGACTGTAACAATCCAATATGTTCCGTCTTCTAATATAAAACCATAGCTGAACCTGAATATGCCAAGTCTTGGTCTCAATGCGTTTCTCAGTTTTCCCTTTTCACGCGAGAGTGATCAGAAAACACAGGTAATGCAGTGTCTGCTTAGAGCACTGTCTCACCTGAACTAATACAGTGCCTTGCGAAAGTATTCGGCCCCCTTGAACTTTGCGACCTTTTGCCACATTTCAGGCTTCAAACATAAAGATATAAAACTGTAATTTTTTGTGAAGAATCAACAACAAGTGGGACACAATCATGAAGTGGAACGAAATTTATTGGATATTTCAAACGTTTTTAACAAATAAAAAACTGAAAAATTGGCCGTGCAAAATTATTCAGCCCCCTTAAGTTAATACTTTGTAGCGCCACCTTTTGCTGCGATTACAGCTGTAAGTCACTTGGGGTATGTCTCTATCAGTTTTGCACATCAAGAGACTGAAATTTTTGCCCATTCCGCCTTGCAAAACAGCTCGAGCTCAGTGAGGTTGGATAGAGAGCGTTTGTGAACAGCAGTTTTCAGTTCTTCCCACAGATTCTCGATTGGATTCAGGTCTGGACTTTGACTTGGCCATTCTAACACCTGGATATGTTTATTTGTGAACCATTCCAATGTAGATTTTGCTTTATGTTTTGGATCATTGTCTTGTTGGAAGACAAATCTCCGTCCCAGTCTCAGGTCTTTTGCAGACTCCATCAGGTTTCCTTCCAGAATGGTCCTGTATTTGGCTCCATCCATCTTCCCATCAATTTTAACCATCTTCCCGGTCCCTGCTGAAGAAAAGCAGGCCCAAACCAGGATGCTGCCACCACCATGTTTGACAGTGGGGATGGTGTGTTCAGGGTGATGAGCTGTGTTGCTTTTACGCCAAACATAACATTTTGCATTGTTGCCAAAAAGTTCGATTTTGGTTTCATCTGACCAGAGCACCTTCTTCCACATGTTTGGTGCGTCTCCCAGGTGGCTTGTGGCAAACTTTAAACGACACTTTTTATGGATATCTTTAAGAAATGGCTTTCTTCTTGCCACTCTTCCATAAAGGCCAGATTTGTGCAGTATACGACTGATTGTTGTCCTATGGACAGAGTCTCCCACCTCAGCTGTAGATCTCTGCAGTTCATCCAGAGTGATCATGGGCCTCTTGGCTGCATCTCTGATCAGTCTTCTCCTTGTATGAGCTGAAAGTTTAGAGGGACGGCCAGGTCTTGGTAGATTTGCAGTGGTCTGATACTCCTTCCATTTCAATATTATCGCTTGCACAGTGCTCCTTGGGATGTTTAAAGCTTGGGAAATCTTTTTGTATCCAAATCCGGCTTTAAACTTCTCCACAACAGTATCTCGGACCTGCCTGGTGTGTTCCTTGTTCTTCATGATGCTCTCTGCGCTTTAAACAGACCTCTGAGACTATCACAGTGCAGGTGCATTTATACGGAGACTTGATTACACACAGGTGGATTCTATTTATCATCATTAGTCATTTAGGTCAACATTGGATCATTCAGAGATCCTCACTGAACTTCTGGAGAGAGTTTGCTGCACTGAAAGTAAAGGGGCTGAATAATTTTGCACGCCCAATTATTCAGTTTTTTATTTGTTAAAAAAGTTTGAAATATCCAATAAATTTCGTTCCACTTCATGATTGTGTCCCACTTGTTGTTGATTCTTCACAAAAAATTACAGTTTTATATCTTTATGTTTGAAGCCTGAAATGTGGCAAAAGGTCGCAAAGTTCAAGGGGGCCGAATACTTTCGCAAGGCACTGTATCAGCCAGGATGCTGCAGGTCAATTGAGCTTATTTATTGTGAGTGCCACTGGAAAAAACATTCACTACAGATACAATAAAATAAGAAGCTGGAGGCTGGATCCATCAGCTTAGTCTGAAAACGGTAAAAACTACATATCAAGGACCAAATTAACTGAAAACTCAGTGGGCAGCAGAGTGAAGGAAGCTCGAGCTCTCTTTCACAAACATGTTGTCTGTTGTAGTACTGTGATGGTACCTGAAACTTCTCTTCACCATAAAATGTTTGTTTTTTTTGCAAGAGGGCCAAGTGTTTTCAGATTTATCATGTGTGTTGTCACTGTTTAAACTTCAGATTAAAAGCCTTCACATGGTTCGGGGCCACATTCCTTTCCTGAAAGGCTTTCATCCGAACTGATGACGCCTCTTGGATGAGAGGTGAAACGTCTTCAAACTAAAAAATGTTTTTCAGCTTACTATGACCTGGATGACTGAGAATCTGCATGGACTAAAGTGCTGAGAATTTTATTAAGAGTAGATCACCATCATGAAAGCGCAAAAAAGTATTAACAACCTTATGAGTAACAGCTAAAATTTACTCACTATGGTATTGAACTAAAATTTGTCCACACAACCACAGAGTTATGGGCACATACATGTTGCAGTGCAGAGTCACTGACCTACGATGATGCCTCCTGGTCGTCTGTCCATGTCCGTCGCCTGGGGGTGGATCCCTCTGTTGTAGCCTGCCTCTCCCATCATCTGATTGGCTCTGTGGTAGCGCTCCATGCTGGGGTCATCCAGTCCCGGGGTACAGCCTCGGCCACGCGCCCGTTCAAAGTCCTCGTGGTACTTGGCCTATCAAATGGTAACACCCGATACACACGTGAATATACATACACACACACACCTGTATCGAAATCAGACATGCATTTGACATTCATACACACGATTACTGGAAACTGTAATACACACACAGGTCAGGGTGCATTTGGTTAGTGAGCAAATAAAACACACAGGGAAGGTGTTAAAATATTTTATTAACACACACACACACACACACACACACACACACACACACACACACACACAGACCTGTACACACACACACACACACACACACACACACAGACCTGTACACACAATCCTGCACTCATGTAATCTTACATTTACATGCTGGAGGCGTTCACCAGCCTGAAAACCTAAAACTTTACTGAAAAGAAAACTGGACCAAGCCGGTACATAGTGATGAAGCAGGCTCAGATTCTTCTCAATATAAAATATATCAATATAAAAAATAATCACACTCTTCTTTTCACAGGAAATTTGTGCCCAAGATGGTCAACATACACACTGAAATAAATATATACTCTAGTATAAATACTTTACACAGATTGTAATATACTGTTTATGCATGTATACAGTTTAACAGACTAAAAAACAGAGCAGATAAAACAAGAACCAGTGATGGTAGAGTTTAATATATGTCAGAGAAAACTCACAACTGAAGTGGGCTAGAGTGTGTGAACGAGTTAGGTTCTGGTCTCAGGGATCTAATATGGTACGTGTAGTAAACACACACTGTGGGGACATCCCAAGTCTCTGATATGAGCAATCCTCACTCTAGAAGTCATTCCGCTCAAGCAGGGATCAACAGTGTTCCAGGACTCTTTTTTTCTGCTCTCAGGAGGCTGCTGCAGGAGCCAGCACCGAGGACCCAAGCAGCATCCTCTGCTGCTATGGACTGACGCATATCTTATCAGAAATCAGATGTCCTCTGATCCTTCATCTGAAGCACCCAATCACCAACTAATTTCTGACAAAAGGGTGTGTCAGTCCATAAAAGACTTCCACAGAGGATGCTCGTGTGTCCTTGCTCATGTCACCCCTCCAGCATCCTCCTTGGTCCTCAGAGCAGACATGACACTCTTGGGATGTTCTCAGTCCTCACTGAGCAGCGAGGATCAAACATACGAGACCTGGGACACTCTCACACATACAACAAATGCACACACACTGCTCCGTCTTCCATGCTGTCTGGTGATGGGTGTTACTGCAGTCCCACCCGTGGTGCCATGCCACTCAAGTTAGCTCCTCCCACTATATCCATATGGGAGGCATGGCAATCAGGCTGCTACCATGGAAACGAAGTCCTGCGTCTTCCTGACGCGCCTGTATTCAGGTGTGTCCAGCTCGGTACAGCTCCGCCCCCTCATCTCCTGTAGCCCATGCTGGTACTTCACCTGTTCACACACATGTGACATTATATATGCCTGAGAAAAAGCATCTGTGTATTTGATTGTGTGCGTGTGTGTGTGTGTGTCTGTCTTGCCGAGCTGATGTTCTCCTGGTTTTGTCGGACTCGTTCCAGTTCTGGAGTCATTCCAACACTGGTGGCCTTCACAGCACTCTGCTTGTACTTGACCTGGTAGGGTAGAAGATGCAACAACTCTCATCCATGGTTACCAACACACACACACACGCACACACCTTCATACCATCACTCCTTACCCCACAACACCACCAGATACACAAGCTGACACTGAACCAGTTGTTACACCCTCTCTTTGCTCTCTTTATTAGCGTGTGTGTGTGTGTGTGTGTGTGTGTGTGTGTGTGTGTGTGTGCATCCTCACAGAGCTGATGTTCTCCTGGTTCCGTCTGACTCGCTCCATCTCAGGTGTGTCCATGATGGCGGTACCACTACCCACCTCCTCTCTGTATCGGACCTGAGCAGTGCCAAGATCAACACAAAGGAACAGCTGCAGCTTTCAGCTTTAAAGGAGCAGTACGTCAATGTTTCACTGGCATAAAGCACATATTATATAAATACATGATTAAGGAACAAGTATGCCAATGTTTTATTTTTATCACCGGTTTGTGTTTTATTACTTTGTTTACTTGCTGCTGTAAAGACCTTAATTCTGGACAGTTATGAGGTACAGAGTGTGGTGTTAGGTAAGGTGTTATGAGTTATGTGCATGTAAACGTACGTCACTGATCTTCCTGGTGTTCTCTCTGGCGAGGATGATCTCTGGCGTCTCGGTGACTGAAGACATCAGGCCTCTCATCAGCTTGGAGTCCTGGCAGTAACGCAGCTAGAGGGCGACAGAGAGCTGCTGTAAACCACAGCTGTAGCATTAAAAGGACATGGGTCACTTTAAACCTGGGCATCGTTCAGAAGTTAATAAAGCTGTGTTTGCAGGAGACTAGAACAGGCTGCAACATAACAGTGTGCGCTCACAGAGCTGATGTGTCTCTGGTTGTTTTTGACTCTCTCCATCTCTGGAGTTTCTGACACCAGGCTGTAGCGTCCTTTCAGGCGCTCTGCCTCGTCCTTATACTTCTTCTAAGAGAGAAGAAAAGATGAAGTTGTCTGAGGGTTCTTTAGTTTTGACAGTATTTTGTTTTTTGCATACAGACCTGACTGTAGATGTCTTTGAGGTAGGAGGCGTGCAGCAGGTTGGGAGTGTCTGCAACTGTCCCGTAGGAGTTTTCTCTGAGCTGCTCCGTCTGCATGTAGGACCTCTGTGACACATAAAGACAAGCTCAGCTGATATCACCATGGACAGACATCACCTGCGTATCTTTAATAATTGGGTTCTTCATTTCTTTTCTCATTGTCTAAGTGAAACACATTTTCTATATTCTAATGTAAATTTAAGTTTCATCCCAAATACAATGTCCTTCACTGCCTTATTAAAACACCTGTTTCTGCACTTGTTTGTTTGGATTTTTTATCTCTACAAGAAAATATAAGGCTTGAGTCAGCAGCAGCAGTAAACATACTGTATCTGCAGACCAAACTTAAACATGTAGAACAAAGTGTAGCTAGAACAACTAATTTTCATGACAAACTATGACTGGTCTGATCGGCAGCGAGGCCTCTGTCACCACCACTGAAAACAACCGACTTCACAGTGATAATAACAGAAAAACAGTGTTTTACATGTTTCTTTGTTCTTTCTCTGCATCCTGCTTCTACAAGAATCACGTCAGAGCAATGCAATATGAAACGCATCCACACACATTTACCTGGCTTTGGATCGCTGACGCTCTCTTGACTCTTTGTATCTCCAGGACGTCGGCGCTCAGCTCCATGCCTTTTCCCATAATGTCCCTCTCCAAGTCCCTGCGATATTCCCTCTGCAAACAACAGACACGTTACACAGACACTCAGTGCAGAGTCAAACACCCTGTGGTTGTTTTATGTGCATGTTTTACCTGGTTCAGGATCTGATTAGCTTTTTTAACCCTCAGCAGCTCAGGTGTTTCCTCCAGTCCAACACCAGATAAGCCCCGGCCCTTCACTCCCTGCTCCAGGTCCTTCCTGTACTCCTTCTACAGACGTACAGCAATGAATGAAGTGGTAATTGGATGACTGTGAATGTGAGGATTAGGGAATAAATTCATGCCAGGAAAGTAGTGAATGTAAAGTTCTGTAGGGTCAATAAAAGTGTGAGTCATAAAGCAAAGAAAAAAATGAGTAGATGATTTAAAAAAACAGTGACTAAACCGTAAATGACAGAGGGAATGAAAATATAGGAATAAATTAAACAACACAAAATGTCCTGAAACTCAACCCTTAAATGTCACATTTCTCTGTGTGTGTGTGTGTTACCTCACTCAGCAGACTGTTAGCATAGCATGCTGTCAGATATCCAGGTGTCTGGTCTACATCCATCAAGACTTTTCCCTTCACCTGCTCCTCATAGTCTCTCCGATACTCCCTCTGAGAGACACACACAGCAGAAAGAAAAGAAATCATCATGAACCGTCCTGCAGTTATTACACCATAATTATAATTTAAACGATATCAACAAATCCCATATGCAGATTCAAACCATCAATAAATGTGTCTTACTAACAAGCGTTGCATGCATATCATAGTTTGATATATTGTCTCCAATGTTGTCCACAAACTGGGCCATGCTGGTGCAGGACTCTACCCCAAGTACTCACTACAGCAAGTAAGGATTCATTTCCAACTGAATATAATCCACAACAAATCTACTATTTCTTTCCATTTGCTTGTAAAAAACTACATCAATCAGCTTTATCAATCAGTTTCAGGAAATTATGGGGCCTTCATTAAAATAAAGAAAATTTAAACTAGATATTTGTGAGGTGTTTTTTAACAATTTACATCTTGAGTAGGAACCAGTGGGCTTGGAACTGAGGACTGCAGAGTGATGAAGTCAGAAAGTACAGAGACTTTTGGTCTTTTAATGGGATTTGCTTACAACAAGACAAATACTGGGTGACTCCAGGTCTGCTCTTAAAGGACGCAAATTATGCAAAATTGACAAAAGCCTCTACCTACTGCCAGCGAGGGCACAGTGGGTATTTTATATTTAAGGTGGAAATGTTCCTGAAGATATCCCTAAAAGACTGTCTTGTGCCAACGTTAATCATTTCATGTCAGTGCTTTGTCAACAAGGGTCAGTACAACACTAGATTTACTTCCAGACTGAAGCTCATGAGTGGATCTATTCCAGCTGTCTTGAGTCCACCTCACATCCCGATGCTGTAAGTGTTGCTATTTTACAGTTATTTTACTGCTTGTGCATGAAGTTAGCCTGTTTAAGCCGCAAACTAAATAGTTTGTGGGACAACGTTTGCAGAGTGCAGAAATGAGCTTGTTTACCATGTGTACTACGTTGTGCTGTTGACGGAGAGCCCTGCAGCACAGAAACTAGCCAACAGGAAGGCTGAGAGAAGAAAGCGCTTTACCTCACTCTGCATCTTCTGTGCTTCTTTGGACACTTTGTACATCTGAGTGTCTCCAAACTCCATTTGAGAACGACCCTTGTTCTTTTCATACTCCTCTCTGTACTTCACCTGAAACCAAACATACACTGAGTACCTAAAACACGTCAGAGAGGTATATACTGTAGGTAACAAAGACAACATTGGTGAATCCAACCTGGCTGTGCAGCAGTGCCATCTCCTTGTGGTGGAACTGTTCAGCTGTGTCCAGAGCTATGTGGTAATGAGCCTTTGTCTGGCTATACTTCTTCTTATACTCTACCTGGTCACACATATTTAGGAACATGTACAATTCACTGACATACAGCAAATCATTGCCCCTAACCCTCAGCTTATCCTAAATTTAAAATTAACAAGGCATGGCGATCCTGGAGTTGTTAAGCAGGTGAATGAAGCTGGTTTTACAGTTTCTATGATGTCATACATTGCTCTGCAGCTTGCTGGCGTGCAGGAAGTGCTCCAGCTGCAGGAGGTTTGGCAGGTCTGAAGCCCCCTCTGGTTTCTGGTTCTGGTTGGTCTTATACTTCACCTGAAGGGCACACAGAGAGCCTCTGTTAGGGCTGAATACTCTCCCAGGATTTATATCCCAGGATGTCTTGCCATAGAGAAAGTTTAATCTTTAATCACTGAAAATAATTGATAACACAATAGTGTTTATTTCATTATATACAGTACATATACAGTATATTTATTTCTAATAGTAGTCTTCCTTATTCATTAAAGTATTTGCTAACATTTGTAAAAGAACCTATCTGCTTAAAAACACAATAAATCCAAAATATAAAAAACCACCACCACACAATGTGAGTAACAAAAATATCAGTTAATTACATGAAGCCATCTTTGTGTTACTTCAGTGGGTTGACAACAGAAGTGTTGGACATTTTGTGACGTCAGTGTGATGCTCCCATATCAGCCCTACTGCTCTGATACAGGATGGAGGTGTGTGGACTTTATTAAGATAATCAACAGATTTGTTCTCTTCATTTGAAAAACAATGTCGGACTCTAAGCAAACTGAGACCTGGCTCTATACCGTGACGCCGACAGTCTCTTGCTTCTCTGAAAGCAGCCCTGAGTGAACATGCAGCATTCCTGAACACCGGGCAATTTTTAACACAACAAGCTGTTATATAATGCAGTGAAGTGATGCGGCTCCTCTGTGTGGCCACTGAACCATGCCTAGCTCTGTATGCATGCATGTGCGTTTTTATGTGCGTATTTGCATGCGGGTGCCTTCACTAGCATGACTGTTACCTACTGTGTATGTGTGGACATGTAAGCTGACGTGTGCGTGCGCATACGTGCAACCTCTTCAGCTTCACCGGCTTTCATCCCACAATTCCTCTCCAATTTGCCTTTCAAAGGTTGCTATGGTTATGCCCACACAACAGACCAGATTTCAGAGTGTGTGCAAAGTGAATGAGATGCACACACAAACACAATAACAAACGGTTTGCTCCTCTTCAACTCATTTATCTTGACAGTAAAGAAACAGGTGAATTCAGCTGAACCATATAACAGATACTCCATGTGGAAGGTTCCCTCAAGATGACTGTTATCGTTCTTAACCGAGACTTTGTGGATTTGTCCGGTTTGTCTGGGCAAACTCTTCATGCTGTCAGCTGCGGATGTGTCTGCTCCTACTGTGAAACCAAACCGTCTCCTAAAAGTCTGAACAACACCCGTGTCATCCTCACCTCCTGCTCCAACAAGAGGTTTAGTTTAACAGGATGTTGGGTGATAAAGTATTCAGTCTTCTAGACTGGTAGTTTGCCAGACTGAGTATTTCTCTGTGATGTTTACAATGACATATTTTCATTTTTCAGGTCTCTCTTAAATCTTATGTACACTGAAAGACTGTAGGCTTCCACATTTACAGTTTATTCTCTAGTTCTGTCTTTGTGTTACTTTCCTTTTGCTGCAGCTGGTTGAGGAAACAAACCCACAAATTACAAATAGGGAACTTAAAATGTACACACACAAGCAGGTTTATGCATCTTTACGCACATTAACATGAGATTACTGTTGGCTACTTCTGAAATCATACCACCTGATCTTACAGTGATTTGGTCCAGTCAACAGTTGTCATCAGGCAATGACGTTTGAGAACTAGAGAGTAGATTGTTAAGGCAAACAACAAATAAATATGGACTTGGAAAAAAGGATCCTGATGTGATTTAGTCAGCTCTTGTATCAAAAAAGTTAAAGGTAGTCCACCTAACGCTGATCATGTGACTGTGTGTTTCTCACCTGACTGGCCAGAGCAGCAGCAGCCTGTGTGTGTTTGAAGGACACACAGTCCAGTGGGTTGTAACAAGGCCTCTGCCCCTTCAGATGTCTATCAAAACTCTCCTTGTACTTCACCTGTGAGACAGAGAGAGAGGGAAACACAATCTTACACAAATGTTTGACTATCCTTGTCCTTCCATATCCATATCTTAAACACTACTACAGACTGGCAACCTGTACCACCGATGGACAAAAACCTGGTGCCCATTCTTCCCAGTGAAGGTTCTGAGTTTCCTTACATGTTGTGCAGCCCATTGCACATGCACATTAGTGTTTCCCCGCTTCCCACATCTGCACTCCCACTCAGTCCACAGACTTAACAAGAAAATAAGTCTTTACAAATATAAAGCCTCCATCAATTAAAAATTCATAATGCAAAGAGTGATAATTAATCTGGTTTACAGTTGCAGGTGTCCCGTCACCAGTTTTACAAATGTCTCTTTTATCACTGAGATCTATGGAGAAAATGCTTATGAGTCTGTTGAGGATTTTTTATTACAGCACCGCAAGTAGCCACTGGAAAAGACTGGCTGAACGGCCGAATGGCGACACAGTGTAAAGCTTTTCATAATACACTTATGATCTGTCCTGTCAATGTCCCAGTGCATGCTGGGAAGGTGGGTTACCTGGCTGGACAGCTTTGAAACCTCACTGGCATGCTGGATATCAGTTCGGTCCAAAAGGGAGCTGTCACTGTACACTGGCTGCTTCGTGTTGCCCTTATAGGCCACCTGTGGATGTCACACACGCACGCACGCACGCACGCAACACACACACACACACACACACACACACACACACACACACACAGTATGCAGACAGCTCGTACAGTAGCATCACACACATAATGGATACACACAGGCCAGTATCTTGAAAATAATCTCCCTCATACAAACACAGAGCCCATTAAGATGAACCTTGCACAGCACTCTTACACGGCAACAGTTCAGTGTTAACAGCAAGACGTTTTCTATAATTAATCAGTGGTTCCACTCAGAGCAGCTGGTGAATGAGACTGTTGTCATGGAGATCCAGCACATGTCCACACACACATAGACTCACATCGCTGGCCAGTTTAGCAGCACCGGCGGCGCTGACGATGTCGGGCCTGTCTGGCACCGCATTGTAGTGATGAAGCTCCTCTTTACCTTTTCTGTAGCTGACCTGAGACCAGCCGGGACACAGTTACAAAATCACACTCATCAAAAAGTGCACTGCGACATAAAAACAAAATAGGCGGCCACAAAAGTGCAATTAAATTACAAGAATAAAACAAGACAGACTTAGAACACTGGTTAGAAACGTTGGGAAATCAGTGGTGACAAAACACATAAAAATTACTGAAAGAGTCTTGTTTTTTCCCCTAATCTTCACACACACAAGGCAGCATTCAGTTGTGGGTCATTGCCAACACAGTCACACAACAAACCTCACATATCAGCTTGGTGTTTTGTATTATACTGTATTAAAATGAGAAGTGTGTGTTTACATCGCTCTGGTTCTTGGTGACCTCCATGGCGTGCTCCACTTCAGGCAGCACCTTCATGTTGGTATAGCTGCACCTCCCCTTCTCTCGATTATACTTCTCCTTGTAGAACTTCTACAGATAAACAGGGAGAGAAAAACCAAGTGAGGGGGACAGAGTAAGACCGAGGGAAATGCTGAAATAAAAACATGAAGAGAAGGAAAGTAGGAGAGAGGCAGGGGAATGAAGACAGAAATAATGGAGCTTGACAGACTGAGGGAGAAAATATCTGATGACTAATGCAGCCTGGTGCCAAATAATGACTGAAAACACACTCAGATATTCACCTAAAATAAAACATTCAGCTTCCCACTGTGAAAATGAAGCATTCACAACAGGACACAGAAACAAACCTGATGCCATCTGTTTCGCTTAAGCACCAGTGACTGATTTTATAAACCAGCTGGTTGAACATGTATGTAAAAACAGCAGCTTTTCCAAAATGTATAAATAGCTGTTTGAGAGGATAAACATGATCATTGTGAGATGTTTTAATGTGGGAAGAAACCAAACTCTTCCACTCTGCCAGCTTCTAACTACCTTAACATTTTGAACGGTAGAACCTCAATGGACAGGATTTACTGTACGTCTCACCAAGGAACACAGAGATCCTTTAGTTCAGTAAAAGTAGTAATACCATAGTGCTGAAAAGAAAAGCCCAGGTCAGGACTTGAACCTTCTGGCTGCAAGGTGACAATGCTGACCACTGCACCATCAGATAACAGCCTTGATGTGGGTCTGAGATCAGTTCAGCTATAACAGTGCTTTGCAGACAATGTCTGTGCTGCTGCTGTTTGACGATTCATGTAGTCACTCTCCAGCTATAAACACCTTCTTCTACCTGTGTATCTGCCGTCCATGGACGTACGCACACAGAGGCGCCCTGCTCAGAAACAGCAGCATTAATCACATCTGTGGCTCTCTGAGAGGTGTCTGTTTTTAGCAGTGATCCTGTGAAATGTGTGACTGTCCCAGTTTATGAGCTTTAACCTTCTGCCGCTGTCTGTCCTGGCTTTCTGTGGGTCACAGTCTGTGTCCTCAGGCTACAGGACAGCTGCTCTCTGTGCTCACACTTCAGCAGGCACCAGGATACCAACACTCCCACCGCGAGTCTTTGTGTGATCTTGGGACAACTGTGGGATGTCGCTCTATAAAAGCCTCATCTTCTCACCTCTCCTCATCTGCTGAAGACGACAGCTCTTCATCCCTCCCATTCACAAAAATACCCACAAGGCTCTTTACTGAAAGATATTTTGTGGACAAAGTCTATATTCTTGCCTGTGGCTGGAATAACTTTGAATAGTTGCTTTCAAATGAAAGTCCGATGATGCCACTGGAGTGATTTTGATAACCAAAATACAAATACTGATAATGACACTCCTGTTTTCTTCTTTCAGTTACACATAACAAATGTATGTCAGACTCACGTTGCTCTGTGTCTTGCTCAGCTCTTTAGCGAACACAGTGTCGATGGTCTGGGGCATGTGGGTGTACAGACTGCAGCCGGCCTCCCTGCGCCCTGCTTCCCTGTACGTTTTCTGTAGCACAAACCAAAACAACCTTTTATTGTGCAATGCATTATTTAGATCTTATTCTTTTAAGGAAACAGCACAGTCACTCTGTGACTTTGCTGCCTCATCAACATCAGCTATTAGTATCTGTACAGTAGGTACAGAATTTTCCTGTTGAGTTTACAGATTTTCCCCATATTTCCAACATATATGGATGGCAATACAATTACCAAAATATACAGTAAATAACGTGGCAAAATTAAAATAACAGGAAAATCCTGTAGCTGTGATTTAGTATAAAATAGGGTTGGGCAAGTTAATGCGTTATTTTCACGTTAACGAAATACTTCATTAGCGCCGACAATTATTTTATCGCGCATTAACACATTTTATTTTTATTATTATTTTCAAAGTCCGTTGCTCACTGGCTCTGAATACACATACAGACAAACGATGGTTATGTACAGTAACCCAAGCTTCTATGAGTATAGGCGTAGCCCTCTAAGAGCTGTCGCTATTGGGTTTATCCCTCGCGCATGCGCAGTCCTGAAGAGATTCTTTCGCGCCCTGTACTGGGCTGTCCCCAAAACAGGTCCGCTGCGATGGCATAAATGCAACTGTGACCTGTGATCGGCTCCCTACACCAACGCTGTTTCTTCAGCTGGCGGGGGTGGAGACAGCAGGGCTTCCAGCTTAGAGGGCTATGCCTGTATTCATAGAAGCTTGGGTTACTGTACGTAACCATCGTTCTATTTCGTATAGGCTTCGCCCTCTAAAAGCTGTCGCTATTGGGATAAAAGCACAGCTCCATGTAGTCAATGCCCTGTTGGCCCACTACCGCCTCTCCTGTATCAGGCCTTGCCTGAGCAGAAGGTGCAATAATGCCCATATAAACACCTGACCGCCACTGTAAGAAGGCAGAATGGCTATTCTGTTAACAGGGGAGGAGAAGTGCAGGGAAGAGCGCACAGATAACTGTTAAATTGCAAGAGCATACGAGCGCTAGCAGCGTACAGAGATAATCAGATGCCCGTATTACGCAGCTGTTGTCTCACAGTAGTAATAGCAATATTACCAACGGAGAACATGGGTACCATGGAGAGCATACAGACAGAGTGCGTGTGTGCAGGAAGAGCACACACACACACACACACAGCGGGTACACCGGCCAGTTGGAAC